TTAATTACATTATGACAGCGGCGGCACGGAACGCATGAAATAATTACACTGCTATCTTTCGTAAAGATCCTCTTTCTTCTCCTCGCGAAAAATTAAGATTGCACAAGATATCAAGATTAGTCCTGATGTTGTCTCACAAGAATTCGAGAGATCAAGATAAGATTTTTTATTAGTTATCAAGACAATATTAAGACTAATTTTATCAAGAGAGATTATTGAATCGTGTTAAGATTACTGATATTTAAAAAAAAATAAAATATATTATAAAGTAGAAATGAAAAAAAATCACACTATATTATACACGAATTTATAAAATTTTAATTAATAAATTGGAATTTAGACATTTTATTATTATTATGTTATCTTAAAGTATATTATAAAGATTACATTAAATATTATTTTAAGTAATCGTTCATTGGGTAAAAATTGTTAATAATATCAAAACGAGATTATTTCTATAAAGATTGATTGAGGATCAAGACAAGATTTAAATTTTCGAAACTTTTCAATACCAATTTAATATTTTTGCGAATATTGTTTCGTCTTGAGCTTTGTGCGATCTTACGAAAAACTTGTTCCCTCTTAAGACGCGTACAAACCGTCATCCCAAATTCGCGTTCGCTTCGCCAAACGATCGCCCCCTCGTTTCTTTCGCTCGCGGATACTGTATCCACTTTTTGTATCATAACGAACGATTACTTTTCGCCCATCCTTCTCCTTCCTCGTCGCTTTTAATGGCCGTTCATGCGCGTAATCGGCAGATCCGCACTCGCACGTTCCCGATGATGCTCGCTCTCTTATTATTTACACAGGATGCGTCGTCGCGCGTGCGAGTGTGTACTACATACGCGTCGTCATCTCCTCCTCTCCCTCACATGAGTTTCCTTCATCCGCTCATTGTTTGATGCACGCGCACCCGCCGATGTTTATTCAACTGCAGCTGCGTCAGCGAGCTCGGCGTCTGACTTCGAACTGTATCGCCTAAGTGCATTAAAGCACAAGATTTCATCTATGCGAAAGGAATCCTATACCTTGAGTGTTCCTTTATTAGACATTTGTATAAAATTTATAAATAATAATTAGCCAAACTTGTAGAAATAATTTGCAAATAATTGTGGAATGAAATATAAAAAATGTTGTGGTGAAAGAACGCAAAAATAATAAGAAAAGACATAGGAAAGCTTTATATGTAATAAAATATAACTTTCAAATAATTTGATAAAGAAGGACATAATAAAACATGTAGGCAATTGCAAAACGCAAAATATCAAAAATAATTGTAAGTCGAGTAAAAGGGATCTCTTAATCGGAGCGCGATTATAATATCGATCGAACATAATACGATTAGAAAACGTTAAAGTAAACGATACGATACAACGCTATGTGAGAGAAGGTTTATCCAAAAACCGTTCTTGTTTTCGACGTATTTACAACTACCGATGAGGACTGGATCGGGAGGACGATTTATATCCAATGCGTGTTCGCTTCTCGTAAAAGCGCGCAGGACGCTTTAAGAGGTTCCCGCTTACGTCATGCGATCTTTGGGTCTCGCACCGACGCGCGGACGAGAGGGAGGAGAGGGTGCCCTCCAAAGACCTATTACCTTATTTACGATTCGCACGGCCATTATCTCCTGGCAACAAAGTGAACCAGCCGGTTTTTCGATACTATCCGCGCGTGTATACTCGGTGTGAAAGAAAAAGGGGGGAACCCCTTTCGGACAAGAGACGAACACAAAAGACACGCACAACACCGTCGTGGCGGAGTTTTGCGGTCGAGAATATGGAGGAGGACTTTTGTCTCTTCGCTCCTTAATAACACGCGTATCCTAACATGGAAGACACGTGGTGACCATGGTAGAGGTACAAATGCTTATATTATTATGTTATCGAGGATGGTACGTTAGGATGGGAGGAATGCTTACTATATTCGTGGAATTTCTTATTAATATTGCAATTTTTTAATCTTTTAATCCATGAGCACAACGTGAATAATATTTTAATTATATGTAATAATAATAAATTTTGAACATTCGATTTAAGAAAGATTTGTAACGTTTCATGCTATTTCGATAAAAGTTTATTGTATTTTCATAATACAATAGTAAGAAATAGAAATAATAGTAGCAATTTCATTTACGCATAAATTATTGCATCAGGAAATGATGATAATTATGGATAATTTCCAATTTGAAAGAAAGTATATTATTTAAATTTTTATCAAGCACTCATAAGCCGATATTTATGTCAGACGTACTAATGCACGATGGAATCGATCCTCTTTATTATTTTCAAATCTCTTTATGCGATACACGTATGTTTTTTTATTACTCATGTCTGTATATTAAAACATAAAGACAACAGATCATTAAACTCGAATAAATCAAATGTGAATTAAATAGCAAATAGCAGAAATATATTAAACAAAATAACATATACAATAATAATATATAATTATAATAAACTAATATTATAATTATATATAATAATATATAATTATAATATGAACAATAAATGCAATATTTGATGAGTAGAATAATTTAAATAGATACATGTGTGGAAAACATCTTGTGTTTTTTTTATTTACTTTATTTTCAAAGTTTACTCGTTTGTTTCGGAAAAAAACTTATTCGAGATAACTTTAATAGACTGTCATTTTTGTCGAAAAATGTTTGGATGGAAACATCGCGATGGGAATATCTGCGCGGGAATGAGTGTCGGTGTCTGATCAAATCGCGGAGGTATAGTACGTTAATTTTAACCGATGGATCGCCGTGCTCGTTGCCGTTATGGGAGAGTTGGGGAAAGGGAGGACCTCGATGAAAACGAATTTGTCGATGCGACACGACGCGCCGCGGCGCAACAACCTGTTCGATGACTTTTCCGTTTGATGATTGCAACAAGTGAGGCCCACCGCCGCCACCGCCGCCGCCGCCACCGCCGCCGCCGCCGCCGCCGTCGCCGCCGCCGCCGCCGCCGTGCTCTCCCAAACCATTTTACCACCGACAGCCACTCCCCGTTTCGCATTCAACAAGTGGCCAAATCATTCAGCGCGGGGTCGCGCGATCCGTCGAAAAAAAAAAATGGGAATTTTGAGCGCGACGTGACTTGGTTGGTCATTGATCGACTCATCAAAAGCGATAGATAGAAATTCTTTGCGGCAGCGTCGGGATGCACATGACGAGACGCGAAACGCGGGGTATCCCAAGCCGAGATCATTAACGTTCCCGATCGAGATTGCAATCCTTTTTTCTATAGAGTTTACTTTTACCGCGGCTAATTTCTGTGCTCGAAAATCCACACAAGCACGAATCGATGTAATGACAGTATTCAGCGGTTCGCTTTTAAGAGACGCGCGTCCTTTCGAAATTCGATTGACGCCCTTTCACCGCAACGTAATCATTACTGTCATCGGAAAGCGCCGATCCTTTCCACCGTAATTTCAGTCGGCACGCCGACTGCCATCGGTATGTGCGTGTGTGTGTATGTGTGTTTTGTACGTGTTGTGCGTATGTGTGCGCGCGGGCGTGTACATATATTCTCGAGGTTCCCTCTCTGAGAAGAGTCCGTAGTGGTGGACTCGAACAAATCTCGTGGTATCTGGTGGGATGGGTCTCATTAAGGACGCCTTCACAGCCCTTCATCCTTGGCTCTTCAGGCCCGCGCCTTTGCCTCTGCCCTCTCCTCGTCGTCCTCTCTGCCCCCGCGCTCGAGACGTTTCGTCTTTTATACCTGGCTGCCCCCTGCTCGCATTTCTGGGCTCGGTCTCGTGCGTTTGCGTGCGCCTTACGTGCCCGAAGGCCATTCGACGCTGCTGGTTCCTCGTCATTTTCGACTTTAAGCACCTCGCAGCTCGCAGCTTAAATGTGTTTCCAAAGGTATTCGACGAAACGAGAAACTCTCGCACGCTTTTTGGCCAACAATCTACCGCAAATATTTCCAATCATTCGGTGTGAATACCACGGTTACTGAATTGAAAATCTTCTTCGTGGAAAGGAGTATTTTGAGAAACAAGATTAAGAAAAATTTAAGAAATAATAAAAAGAGAGGAAAAGATTGCATATTAATATCTCGAGCTGTTAGCATACATGTTTGAAATTATACGAAACACTGTATAAATGGAAATTCATTTACACCAAAACTATTAATCTAAACTTAAGTTTTCATGTATAAAAATGATTGCTATATTTTTGTGTTGTGCACGAGAACGAATATTTCTTCGCGTTCCACGACGCAAGTAATCCATATACGTAACATAAATGTAAAGTTACGCTCTATTCGCATAAAGGAAGAATTAGGACAGATTAGTTATGTCAAAAGTTAATAAAAATCTAATACGTTTAAAGATTCATCAACTTGACATTGCGCGCAGAGCACTTTTAGCCTTTTAAAATTAATAATTAATTTATGTTAATTCAAATAAAGATTTGCCTTGTAGAATTAAAATTTTTTGTGAATTTTTGTGTCGCGCAGTTAAAATCATGGTACAGTCATGATAAAAGAGTTAGTCCGATATAAGATAGCATACACACGCACATTTACGATTTTGAGATCAAATTATATTCTACAGAACGATTCTTTACTTTATAAATTTCTTTACGATTCTTTCCTCTCGCATACTTAATTGTATTAATTTTATATTTTAAAAGGCTAAAAGGAGTGTTTTGCGCAATATCAAATTCAGGAATCTCGAAATTTATTAGATTTTCAAGTTTTGACACAATTGTTTCGTGCAGCTTCCTCCTTAATAGCGACAAATACGCACGTGGACGACTGGGTCTTTTGCTCTGGAGTTAGAAAGATTAAACACAATGCCACAAAGTGATGACCAGGTTGCTTGTTGGTGGATGCGACTTATTCGTTACGAGTGCGTTTCGCGTACGGTACGGTTGTAACGTTCGTGTATGCGCAAGCATGTATATTCTCCGTCGTGTTTCCATTGTCGTGTGTGTATACATAGCTAATCGAATCCGTTCGTTTTCTCTCCCCTTTTTCTTGCAGGGTGGCGGTGGTAGCGGCGGGGCTGCTGGCGGGCTGAAATTCACGGTGGCGGACACTTGCGAGAGGATCAAAGAGGAATTCAATTTCATCCAACAGCAGTACCATTCGTGAGTATCTTTGTCTCTTTCCTTGCTCGTGTTCTCTCTATCTTTTCCTTCCTTGCCATTCTCTCGTTCCTCATTTTTTTAATTTTCTTTTATTCTGTTTTTTTTTCTTCGCTTTTTTTCTATTTGTTCCATTGTGTGTGTTTCTACGAGTCTTCTTGCGATTATTCGAGACGACGATTTTTCGCGTTCACATTTTTTCTCGTTTTTCCAATCGCAACGAATTTTTTACGCGATGCCACGATTATCAATCGATTCTCGTTTCTTTTTTATTTTCTTATGCACTTTACATTTCTATTTTCGATCGCGAGACTTTGCGTCTCGTTTTATAATTGGTATGTATCTTATCTGTTTAATAATAATTTCGACACATACATTTTATTGTAATATTTATTTATCTATTTAATCTTTTTGAACTCTAGCCCAAAATAAATAATACAAGATACACGTCACATTGATATGTGTCAGACAAAAGAATGTCAATCAAAAATAATAACTTGAGTGTAATAACAGTTTAAATACGATAATAGCACATTCATATACATACATACATATAATAATTTAATTAAATGACGAGGTAAAATTCTTTTAATTGAATTTGGACCTACCTGAAAGAAATTTATGTGCGAATGTAATGTTGAAAAGTCATTTGCCAGCGAGCACGTACAGTTGAGTAGCTCATATTTTCCATAGGTACGATGAGGTTCGACAAAGAATAATTGATTGTATCTAAACGATTTATCAGCAACACATAGATCGATGTGCTCCAGCAAGTCAGGACAATCGATATAATCGTTTCCTAGTTTACACACAAATTCAACGGAGCTCTGTAAACTCTTTTGAAGAGTTGACAAATTAATTTAATTTCTTTAAAATAATCATAATCGTGATCAAAAAAAGTCTATCGGTTTATGCAAGATAAAATTAAAACAAAGAAAATAGTATTGAATAATCCCTTCAAGTGGAATACATTGATTTACATGAAAAAGGAGTCTAGACGATTGAGACAAGTTCTAATTGCAGTCTCACAGAGTATAAAATACAACATGATTCCAAATAATTTAGCTAATCGAATTCCATCTAATTGTTTTTGGTTTTTTATTTTACAGACTGAAGCTTGAGTGCGAGAAGTTGGCCAGCGAGAAGACCGAGATGCAGAGGCACTACGTTATGGTAAGGCACTTTGTAAGTTTCTCTTTGTGTCTTTCCTCTCTACAAGATCGAATCTCGTTATCTCTTTCTTTTCTCGCGAGTCGAGAGCGGTTCCGAATCCGAAAGCAACAATTTAGATTTCTAACCGCGGAAAGTATCGCGGAAATAGTCTATCGATGTTTGACGATTTTTTTATGCGCGAAATATGCAACAAGACAGAAATAGAATTTCGTAAGAAACTATACATGAAAAATAAACGAGTACCGTTGTCTCACGTTTTCTTACGAATATTTAATTCAATTTATTTCTCCGCAAAATGCACGAGATTCGTTAAAAATAAAAACGAAATTCGATTATCGGCTTCGCGTGCGCCTCACGAAGGAAAGCTTCGAGGAGCCTCTCTCGACTTGCATTTGTATTGGCACGCGAGAATATACGCCAAGCGTAGGGTATTTATCGATAATGCATGAAGGAACAGGATATTATATAAACGAGAGAATTGTGCGCGCGGGTGCAAATTAATGCGAGCCATTTTCTTCGATTAGGGAAAAACGATCAATATTATTCTCGTTTCATATTGCCGGGTTCTCTTCGATTTAGTTCCATCAGCGCGAAGGTAATTAGTCCAGCCAACCGTACTAATCGTATCGTCATCGATAAGGAGCTTAACTTGGACTTACCTATATTAAAGTGCAGTACTAACATGGCCCAAAGTATTCGCCGCGAGTATCCGTTTCGCCTTGCTTTTCTCTTCTTCCTTCCGAGACGAGTCTTGGATGTTATTATTATCATTACTACGATAGATTTTCCCTCTTTACAAGGATATAAAATTATATAACTTGCGGTGAGATGTCTGAAGTTGAGAGGTCTCTCGTTGAGACAGTTTGTTTAGAAATTATGACAGCACGCTTCTATTTTTTTTTACTTGTGCGAGAAAGAAAGCTGTCATCTTTCAGATAATTTTTTTTATCTTTCTATATTTATTATTTAATATTTTAAATAAAAATAAGCATTTTATATACTGCTCGTACTAGTTTGGTTGTACATTTTGTTGCAAATGTATCGATGCCGAGAATTGAATGTTCTGAAGAAAATATTGGCTCATCCGTTTGATCGCGAATAAATATTAAAAGAAAGTCACGCATCAGATTGTCATCAAATATTTTATTACAATTCGCGTATAAAGCGCAATGTAAAATTGTCGAAGTAAACTTTAACATGTAATCTTTCCCTAAACACTTTACCGTAAAAATATCTACCGTGTAGATGTCATTTGAAAAATTGCGTAGAAATTTCCGAGTATTCCGTACGATGTTGCACGTCTCGTCTCCCACGGCAAATCAAACTCTGGAGAGACACGGTGGCTGGATGGAAAAATGGAAGCAGAGAAATCAAGGGGAACCTCGCTTTTGTCCCGATACAAAATCAGCGCCGCACGAGAATGCGCTCTCGCAGGCACTGGACGATTATGCGTTTCTGCAAATCGCTCTCGAGATGCGAAAGCGAACGGCATGGATTGGAGGGTCAATAACTCCGTTATGCTCAATAGATGCAAATTTCACGGAGTTGAAGGCGAATGTTTATTCGGTTGCTGCACTAAATTTTGAAAAATCGATTGTAAAAATCGAAAATTAAAACTGCTATATAATTTTTCGGCGAGGTTGTAGTTGCGATTAAATGTCAAGATTTAAAATTTGAACTTGAAATTGTATTGAAATTACGGTGACTTTCAACATTTAACATAACGTAACGCAATACTTTGCTAATTATTAAAATCTGCTTTAAATAGTTTGTATTTGTTTTATTCGTTTGGCAAAGTATTTAGTTATTAATTTGACCTTATTACCTGTCAATTACGGAATACAAATATTTGTTAAAATTTTTGAAATTGATTCTCCATTTTTTAATTCACGAAGTGTAAGTTTGAAAAAAAATATCTTTAAATATAGTAGATAGCCCGGAATGTATTCCAAAGAAATTCAAATTTGCACAAATGCAATGAATCGACGTTTTGCATGCGAAAATTATGCTCATTTTACGCGAACTTTGTTTACGTTAAATCGTTAATAAAGAATTATTCCGGAAAATAAAACATAAGTTTTTACGAATTGATGTCGGCGTCAACATCATCCGCATCTTTGGATTTCGAGGTCCTACACCACTGCCTTCCGTACGTTCGATCGTAATTGTCGCGAACTATACTGTCTCTGTAAACTGCTACACCGATGTGACACCGTGCAAGCAACCAAGCAGCAAGCTGGGCCGAGTGGAAGGGAGTCGGGGGTGCCAGAGGGAATGGATAAGGGGGGTCGGAGGTGACAGAGGGGTTGATGGGGGTTGGGAGTTGAGCCGGTAATCGATATCTCCAAAGTAAACGAAGAGAGAGATGGAGAAGGGGGGTAGCAGCAGAGAGGAGGAGTAGTTGGGGGGAGGGTGGTGGACGATAGAAATAGCGGGGAAGAGAGAGGCAAGACTCGTCGAGGGAAAAGGAGAGAGAGAGAGGGAGCGGAAAAGGGAGAGATAGAGAAAGACAGAGAGAGAGAGAGAGAGTGAGACGCGGGGTAGAGGGAGAGAGAATTACAGAGACAGAGAGAGAAATTGATGTCGAGGGTTTGTCAACCACCGACAAGTATTATATACGTGCAAGCCCTGAGAGGACGCGCGAACGAAGGCGATGGGATGGATGTTGGTGTGCGCGTCGCGCACAAGTACACACACCACGCTCTATGCCAGCCGTATCTCTGATATTCTAATTCCACCCTCGTGTATTCCTGAGCGTTTCCTACCACCTCTTTTCGCCGTCGCCACCGCCGCCACCGCCGCCGCCGCCGCCGCCGCCGCCGTCGCCACCGCCATCGCCGCCGCCGCCGCCATCGCCGCCGCCGCCACCGCCTCCGCCGCCGCCGCCGCCGCCACGCGCGCGCAACTTTATCCTTCGCGATTTTCATTAGGGTAACGCGCCGCGTAAATCCGCGCGCCGCCGCTTCAATTTTTGCCCCTTCCATCCCCTACACACACACACACACACACACACACACACACACACTCTCTCTCTCTCTCTCTCTCTCTCTCTCTCTCTCTCTCTTCCTCACTTCATTCTTTTGTCTGCTCCGTCTTACGGATCATCGCCTTTCCACGTCGTTACGGAGAGAATATCTTTCCTTTCCCTCTCGAGATACCGCCAACCATGTCGTGCTCTCCGAGAATTTGATTGATATACTTGATTTATTTGGGGATGATTAATGCGTTCTAGATTTTACGTTTGTATAGATTTTACTATAGCTGTAAATTTAGTTATACTTTGTATATTGGAAAATAATATAACGCTTGCGACTTTGAGAATGCATGAACTTTGACGCTCTAAAAATTCTATGTTTCATTAAAAGATCTTTTTTTTTTCTTCTCTCTCATCTCTTCATTTGTCATTTGTTCCTTCTTTATTTATGGTTCATATTCTTGTCCTGCAAATTTGAAAAGTATATTTTTGAAAAAATAATATTTTAATAATAAAATATTATATAAAATATTTTGTATTTTCAATAATACATAGAGCAAAAAGAACGATGTCATTAAACTGTCTGTCCGAATAATTTTTAAATCATCTTATCATATCTTTTTAAGATGCGTTTATCTCGTTTTGATTTATGTATTTCAATATTTTTTTTATACTTACTTAGCGCATTGAGAGAAAGAGAGAGAGAGAGAGAGAGAGAGATGAGAAAAATTTATAAAAAAATTTCTAAAGTGCCACTATCAATTCAGAAATTAAATGACTTCGTCGACGCATATCTGATTTGCTCCAATAATCGTGCACAAAGTTGCATTCCTCGAATTACGAGTCGCTTGTCGCTCGATTGCTCACAGGAGCTTCATATTTTTATCACGACAGGTTGCGGGCGCATCGTCGGGGGGGGGGGGGGGAATTAATTTTCCTAGCTTGAACAAAGTGACCACCGAGACTTGTCCCTTCAACGTATTGTCGAAAACAGGCGAAACAAAATCCGAAAAAATTCCGAATCCCCGGGCTGTCCAAAAATTGATTTAATTTTCAATATGTAATGATCGAACGAGAAAGAGAAAATCCGATGGCACGGATGAAGGATGAGAAAAGAGGGTGGGCGAAAAAAACCTTCGAAACTATCGAAAACGGGCCCGGGGATCGTTGCGCATCTCCGGTCTGCCGCGCGAACGGGAAGACTTTCCAATTATCTATGTTTTTTCTCCGCCGCGTTTTTTCGCGCTGCAACAAATTAAATGTAACCCACATCCCTGGGGCACGCTTCTCGATTACTCTTTGTTTTTCTCCCGTTTTCACGGTTCGCCGTTTGCTTTCCGCCCTCCCCGCGCGAGGTGCGCGCGCGGGTATGCCTGGCAGATTGCATTTCTATCCTGCGCTCTATACGTTGTCCTCTACTCTCGGGAAAAAAAAAATTTTTTTTCATCAACACTCGCGAAATTTTGCGTCGTAACGCTTGGACCGTGACGGTTATTCGGTTGGCGATGTCGCGATATTGTTCTTTTATCCGTAGAAAATATCTTTGCAGAGACCTCGAACTCTGGATAAACTATTATTTTTGTCATTTTCTTATTTTATATTTTGAATCAATATTATTTTATATAGATAACACTTGGACTAAAAAAAATGAGTATTATTTTATACAAGTGTGCCCAATAAATTTTTGTATTGTTTCAAGACTTATTAATTTATTATGGTGTTAACTAAAATATTGAGAGAGTTCTCAAATGTATTGTCAGGCTAATGCATTTTGCTTATTATATTCAGTTTCATTTCTGAAAGACAAATTTGTAGCATCTTTTTTGCAAAAAATAATACAGAAAACCGATGGAGAAAATTTATGATACGATTTGCGGCTGTACTATGATAAATTTTTTTTCATTAACACAAAATTGTGCGTTGTGACGTGATAGATATTCGATTGGCGTTGCAATAAATTTTTGTGTAGTTTCAAGATTTATTATTAATTTGTTAAGATGTAAACTAAAATATTTAAAGTTTTCAAGTATATAATTGTGCTAATATATATTACTTATTATTCAATTTTCTTTCCGAGAGAGAAATTTGTAGTTTCTTTTTCAAAAAAAAAAAAGGAAAATGATACAGAAAGTCAATGAAGAAAATTTCGCGGTACGATTCACGGATGCACCGGTTCGCACTCGGCGTGATTCACACCGGCTTATTAATTATCCGTTAATTATCCGTGGGCGCGACGTGTAAATTTCCGCGAGGCGAGTCAAGAGAGCGAATGCGAGCGAAAAAGGAAAATGGAAATGGGAAGAGAGGTGAGAGAACAGCACCGAATCGAAGTACGGTGTAACCAGAAAGAAGAATCGAAAGAGAAGGAGATAGGGAAAGAAAGAGGGGAAAACGGAAAAGAGAGGCGAAACGAGGGAAAATGTCGAGAGAGCGACGAACGAGGTCGTCCAATCATCCTATCAAAGGCTTGCTACTAAAAGATCCATATCGAGTAATCGGAGGGGACGAAATTATCCGTACAACTCCTATTATTGGGTTCCGAGGCACGTGAAAATAGAAAATGAGAGGCGGGTAGATGAGATCGATATCCATGGAACTTCTGCCGTCGTTGAGAGTTTTCTCGTTATTTGATTACCGACTTACGCCGATATCTTTCCTTCGGCCATTTAAATCAAACTTTACAGCGCGTGCAAAGACATCGCCGACAAATAAATGATGACAAAATTACTGTATCTGTCATCTTACTTAAATTAATTTAAAAAAATTTGGTTAATCAACTTGATTGTCACAATTGCTATTTTAAAATAATCGATATGTGTGTGTATTGCAAATACAAAATTTTAAAATAAACTTTGCAGTATTTATAACATATTTATATTGCAATTAAAATTTCGTAGAAACAAAGTATTTGGGCAAAGTAGATATACATATTCTGACGTTCAATTATGTTATAAATATGACAAATTTATTATAAAATTTTTAAATTTACAGTTATAATATAATCTATATATAGCGTATATATTATTTTTTCTTCTAGACTTAGAAATACAATAAAAACTCAAAATCTATTGTCTGACAATGTGCACTTGGATAAAATTGCTGGTCACTTATAGCGTGGCAGTGCTGATCACGCGTGCTTTTTCGTGGGCGATGAGAGCCCTTCGAGGAAACGAATTATCGAGTCGCCGTTTGTTTCTTGCGCGATACGATCGTCAAGTTAAACTGACATGCACAGGCATAGACAAGGTTTCCCAAGAAGGAAGGAAGGAAGGAAGGAAGGCTTCGCGCCAAGTTCACCTGGGCGTAGTTATCGACTGCATTATTAAGTCGGTATATTTCCGTGGCCGATGCTATCGATCTCCGAGCCGAGTATCTCTCGGGCCTGACCTGACATGTGTATTGCCTCCCTCTCTCTCTCTCTCTCTCTCTTTCTTTTTCACGGCAAACTGCCTACCCCGAGGCCATTTGTCTCCGAACGAGAGACTAAAGGCGGACGCTAAGCGACAGCCGCTAACCAATTTACGATCGCGCAAGCGTATCCATCGAGCTGCATCGCTCGGATGCAGTTTATCGAGACGTAATGTACTCGCTGGATCGAACCCTTCTCGCTCCCCCTCTCATCCGCAGAATTTCGCCCACGAGAATGCCGACAGTGCGAGAAGATCGCGCCGACCGATCCATCGATCGTTCTCCGCGCGATTCGATACGTCTCGGGAATTTCGCACTTTGGTGCGCGAGCTATTTTAAGTTTGGCAAAAAATGCCATTTCTCGAAGATACTTTTAGTGTTAAAAGAAAAAATTACATTCTTTTTTTTAACGAGAATATAAAAAGGAGGAGATACCGATGAATATGATTCAAAAATTAAAAAATTATGTTTATAAGTGCGTAATCTCTTTTTCTTTGTTTTTAGCTTTGTGATTCTTTGCGAAGCTTATTTTGCAAATAATATTTCAGAGAGAGAAATTTATATATATATATATATATATATATATATATATTTATTTATTTATTTATTACAGTCTACTATTTTAATCTTGCTTTGATAACTAATACAAAAGCTCTTGACTTGATTTTATCTTAAATTTCGAAGACAAGATTAATTTTGTGACTTTTTGCAACCCTAATAGTTTGATATACTCTCGGCTACAGATAATCAATTTAAGATTGTACACACATGTGTCCGAATCACATAGAGTCGTCAATCTAATTTGAACGTTGAAGATTCTTATGACAATGCACTTGGAAATGCAATAATCTTCAGAGACTCTTTACTTGAATTTATTATTACATGTGCCATTTAGTATTTTAGTTAATACAGTACTTTATAATTACAATTATTTATAATTGCTATACTAGATTAATAAAAAAAATCTCAGCGAATGTAAACTAAAAATTGTGTTTTTTTTTGTTACAGTACTACGAAATGTCATACGGCCTCAACGTTGAAATGCACAAGCAGGTAAGTCTATCACGCTGATGTGTCATTTTTTTGTAGAATTAATTTTTTTCTAATCGATTAAACGTACAAGGTGGTTCATTGTTCTCGTTTGTTAATAAAACATAGATTAAACCAGATAATGTTTAATTATAAATTATAAGTTTGAAATTAACATTAAGTTAAAATATTTTAGTTACAATTTTTTGCAAGAGGATTCTTGGATATCAGGAAGTCCTTTAAGTATTGTATTTTTCAAAAATATACCTAGATCGTAAGATGGAACGCGTAATATTTAACTAGCTCTGCACAGAGTTAATCAAGATCGTATTCAACAGCGTTAAGGATTTGAGTAATCCACCGTTAATTGAGCCCGGGGGAGTATGTCGGGTGAATCGTCTCCGGAAGTGGTCGCAAATGAGGCATATGGATGGCGAACTCGCGTAGGCCGGGAAATCGTGTAATTTCGGCTAATCAGGGGAAACAGCAGCGGGGCGGTCCCCCTCTGTCAGCAATTTTCTTAAAAGCGACCACGCGGTGGCCATGTTCAAAAGTGGGGCTCCCAAACTGCAAACAACCCTCCTTGCCGTCCCGGTACAACGAGCTGATATTCATTAGCATTAGCGGCCGATCATTTCTCACCCTCGTACCCCGAGGCGGCGCTTAATGGGCCGAGACGCGGAGAAGGGGAAGGGAAGAGAACTACCCTCTCTCGGGTAGTTATAGGGCGTAGCACGGCACCGAGATCACCGCGGAATTGTTTCCGGCGAATAATGCACGAGAAATCAGGGCGTCCCTCAAAAAACGGCGCTATTTTAATCGGCGTCGCGGATTTCGCGACGCGAACTTAAAAGGACGTCTTTTAAAATTAGAACGAGGTTATTGTACTTTCTCGATTAGAAACGGAAATTGGCAATATTCACGCGTCTCACACCTTAAATTTAAATTAACTTAAACGTTATACTTAATTAAATCTTAATTATTTCAAAAATACGTTAATATACGTCGTATAGATAAAAATAAATTTCTTTTTAAAATAACGCAAATTTCTTCTAAATCTTTAAATAGTATATAATAGTATATATGTGTGTGTATTTATTAAGAGAGATCTGAGAATATATTTTTAAATATATTTTTCAATATATTTTTAAATAAATGTAATTTATAGATTTCTTTCGTTTCAACGAGATTACGATAAAAATTCTGGGAAATTTATTTTGTATTCGTAACTTATAGGCTAATAATAATCGTTGAATATATTGTTAAAAAGAAAAAAAAAACAAAATTATTTGTCGGAAAGTCTGAGAGTCAAAAAACATTGCGACTTTACAAATTGTAGCGGAGGTAAGATGACGCGCAGATTCGCTTCTTTAATGTTAATTGGAAGAGAAATGAAAAGTTATCGATTCTTCGCGACCCTCTAATTAACCGTGATAATAATCGCGCTCTTTGCCAGCTTATTTACATTAATTGCCATCTTCCAGGCGCATTAGAGACAACGAGACGATGTACAAAATCAGATAGTATGATACATGCTTTTTTTTACAACTTAATTTGATAAATTTCTGAAGGAAATTTACCGCGTGATAAAAATAATACTGTATATCTTTATTTGTTAAATAAAGAGAATCTCATAAGGCTATTAATTTAAATTACAAATAGAGAATCTCTCGCATAAAGTTATTAATTTAAATTACAAATAGAAATTTTATAAAATTACAATTAGAAAATATTTTATTCATGTTTAAAGTAAGTAAAGTTTATTACTTTGTAATTTCATAATTACGCGATTATGACCTGCATGTTTCAGTAAACATTGATCAAGAAAAATTTAACTTTAAATCGTTCAAAGAATTTTGTCGTGAATATAATATAATTGGCGTCTAATTGTTTTACATGTAATTACAAGATTACGTTTTATTGGCTGATATCTTGGTCTCTTTCATTCAGCTATTAATAGGCATCCCGAAAATACTATACATATATTTATTATTTTCATTCAGGATGCCGCGAATCGCGTCAGTCTCGAAACGTCCCTCGGCAAAAAAAGAATAAATAAATCAAGCTCTCTTTAATCGATCCCCGCCACTTAGCAGGCTTTCGAGTCGCGGTTTTCTCGCTCCTTTTCAATTTGAACCCTCGAATGAAAACAATCTTCCCCTACGAGGTTAGAACCTTCTGTATCTCTGTCTCGTCTCTTTCTCCTGTTTCGCCACCCCTTTCGTTTTCACCCTTTTCACTCTCCCTCGCTCCTCTCTGCCCTCGTTTTTCTCGCTCTCTCTTTCTCTCCCGTTGATTTCTCATAGCATCTCGCCGTTGTGTTCTTGCGACCCCTCCCCGCGCTCCTCGCCAGAACGCTCGGCCATCCCTCGCATCTGCGCGACCCTCGTATCTCCTGCCGCAGCTCGAAGTCGACATTTGCCTCTCACCCATCCTACCGCAGCCACCACTTTACCACTCTCTACTCGACTAACTCGAATTTGTTGGCAATGTCCCAGTTCTTGTAGGTACGATTACTTCTCTCACTCCATCCGCGTCTCTCACCCTCAACAGGAGTCTTGAATTTTCTCCCTCGGTCACCCTCGTTCGCGAACATTGGCTCGCTTGTTCGATTTAATTGCACGATATAGACACGATTACTCGCTGGGATTTTCAACTCTTGACGTTATACGCGTCGAAGAAATGGACGCCTGAAAAATCATCAACATTTCTATATCAACATTGTTTGATAGATATATGGATATTTCTTACGAAGAAGAATCTCGGATAGTTTTCTCGATCACTCGAAAGTTAGAAAGGCTCGTCAAAATTTTATCGCTTTTAATCCTCGGGTTAATGCGAGGATATCGTTCAATAATATCGGTAATAAAACCTTTTTATCAATCGCTCTATTGGATTCTCCGGAGTCCGTTGGATTCCATCATGCGATCTTCACGGGAAATGAGATTTGCAGCAGTGGAGAAAAATGGACGGCTTGCAAAAAACGTCCGCGATTACGCAAAAGAAAAGCGCGGAAGAGAAAGAGCGGGATAAACTATGGGCGAATCTATGGGGATAGAGGCGAGGGGAGCTAAAAAACACATCGCGCCCCGCCGTTACGTTTTCGTCCTATTTATCCATCGAATCGTACGTACATTCGGCCGCCGGCGTATCTGTTCGATAGCGCTTATCGCTTAATTGAAAGGGTCGTCCTTCGGCGCGACTGCTGCCTGCTCGTTGTCCCGCTCGATTAAGCCGCGATCCACGGCAATATGTCGCGGATGCATTACGCGATCGCGAAACCGGATTATTATATAAGTCTTTGGAGGCCAAAGAAATTAGAATGAAGAAACTAATATCTGGAAAGGGAAGTAAGGTAAAACATTAATTGCAATGTCTCATTATTATGCCGGATAAAGCGTTTGATAAAGGAATGAGATAGGGGTAAATTAGGAAAGCGAAGAGCAACTTTCATTTTGTTTTATTCGTGTCAATCTTTAATACAGAGAAAATAGTATAATACGTTTCATATTTGCTTAAATCGATATAAAATATAATTACGTCGATCAGATTTTATCGATAATTAAAATTTATAAGGATACTAATAATTAATAATTGCACTAATTAATTGAAATATTCCAATTGCGAGATCAACTTTTTGCAAATACAGCAAAAGGGTGTTTTCTTCCTTTTAAGGCGAAAATGCCTTAAAAATAACTACAAAAATAATTTTTTTCTAATTATGAAATTCGACGGAATACAAATCATGGTTTGACTTGATAAAAATATTGATTGAATATTTAGAATTGCATCTTTCTCTATTTCTTCTAAAAAAAAAATACCCATTTGCAGTGCTTTAATTTTCTCTATTGCTTTTAGAAGTGCTTTTTTGCTCTATTTCATTCTTATAGGTTTTTTTTATACGTTTTGTCCATAGTTTGCCAGGAAAAATGATAAAAAAAATGCTATAATAGAGTAAAGACATTAACTCTACGTGAAGCATTTTTGCTTTTGTAAAGAAAAAGTAGATTCTCGAACGTATCGAATAAAAAAAACATTTGTACACGGTTGTTACTGGTTATAATTTATAAGTTGTACATTTATAAGTTGTACATTTTTAGAAATATAACGGGAACACGTATAAACATAATAATTATTTTTATTGAATGAAAAATAATTAAAAATACTTATTAATAAACTTTACAACAATAGATTTATGCCATCTATTTTTTTAATTTTTCGATTTGTCATAATATATAAAACGAAAATTTTTTTTCTTCTCGAGTAAACGATTAAATGTTTGTTGTATCCTAGAACAGAAAATCGAGATTGAAAAATTGTTACGCGCGCGCGCGAGAGAGAGATAGAGGGGGGGGGAGGAGAGAGAGAGAGAGAGAGAGAGAGAGAGAGGCAGAGAGAGAGAGAGAGAGAATTGCATCATCCCTAACGTGGAGGAATCAGCCAAGCTAAAATTTCGAGTCAACGACGGCATTCTATCGAAAAAGCGCGTATTCTCTTTGAAAGAATATTGCCACGGCGTTGTTGCTGGCGTTGTTCGTCGATACGAGAGTAACTACCATTTCCCATCGCGGGTACGCCCGGCGCCCGATAAAAAATGTGCAGGCTGACCAATTGCATATAACTCACCCTGCCTTTCCAGTTCTTCCTGCCTTCATGCATATATATGTCTATCTATCCGGGCGTTCTGTCTTCTACCCTCTTTCTCTCCGGCCCTCTCTCTTTCTCCCTTTTTCTCTCTTCTTTTTTTTTTATCATTCTCCCACTCTCTTTCCCTCTCGCTCCGTCTCTCACGTGCTCTCTTTCGGCGGTCGGGGGTCGCTTTTCCAGCGCTCTCTCGTCCGTACACACGTGTCGGAGCGTACGAGCGAGCGAGAGAGCGCGGGTGTACACACTCGCTTGCGCTTGCTCGCACGGACACCTATGCCGCGCGCGCATATACCCTCCTAGGGGTCGTGTATTCGAGTTCTTTTATTTTGCCCTGTGGAGGTAGCAGAGGGTTGAGTCGGACGAGAGCACAGAGAGCGCGAGGGCTGGGGGCGATGACATCGATTTTTTACCCGTTGCTAATCTCAATGTTACCTCCTCCTCCTCTACCTCCACATCCAGCGCTTCCTCCTTCTCCGCCTCTCGTTCGGTCATCTCTATATCCCTCCTCGTCCCCCGCCCCCCTCGTCGACTCGCTTCGTTCTCCCGCCCGCCCGCCGCTTCCGCACCTCCGCGCCCCCGCACCCCGGCCATCCGTTTTGCGGGAAAACGTGCATGTGCATCGGACACATTCGAGAAGGAATAACCATTTTTTCGTGCCGGACAACACTCGCTCCGCGTCGCCCGCGTCCTGCAAATTCTCCTCGTCTCCCGACCGCCGCCGCCGCCTCCAACCATCTCCCGCAACCCCCGACACCATCGCATCCTCTCTCCATTTTTTCGTCGAACCTTTTTTCGTCGCCCGCCCTTCTTCTACACCCACTCACCTATCCGTCCCGACTCCCTCCCACTCGTCGCCCCCTTTGCCACCTACTGTCGAACAGGGCGAAATCGAACTGACGTGGACGCGGCAGTTTTCCATCTTTCTGTTCCCCGTGGGAACGATGACATTTTTTTTCGGTCTCTCAACTTTTAGATCTACGCGCCCGATTCGCTTGACGTGAAAATATCGCGCCGAGCGATATCGGCGAAATACCAATGCCAAATAATTATATGCGCTATCTTACCCTCGCTAATTTCCCACCGTCCGTTGTCGTCGGGGGAATGCGTCAAATAATTGGATCGATTAAATCGAACCACGCTACGTGAGAGAGAGCGTTCTCGATCGCAACATTTTTTTATTCGGAAAAGGGAGGATATTTTTACTTGGATTGATTATACGTAGTCGAGTGAACGATATATCCTTTATGCTTTACGATTATTTCAACGTCACGTGGCGATCGTGCGAGCTTAATCACCAATCGATTCGATCGGCGCGCATTAATGAGTAGTCGTCCCGTTATACAAGAGTGGGTTGAATCGAGCTCGCTCTATGTATGTTTGTCGAGCAGTCGTCGTCCTGCGACATGTGATTACACTACGATGTAAGCCTGAACATCGAGATACGCGTGTCCCGCGCGTTATGTACATATACACACAACGATCGCTCTTCAGCCCTGTGTACCGCCCTCGATTTTTCAATTAATCCCCGAATTATTTAAAGCTTAAATATGCGATGTTAAACCCCTACCCCTCCGCGTGCGACATTAAGTTTCTCGAGTAAATTTTCGGATTTACTTGCGCCCAATAATTTTACAAATGGTCGGTCATTCTGGAATTGACACGTCTTGTTCCGTAATCTTGAAAAATGGAGCCAGCTAATTGAATCTGTAAAAAAAAATGCACACACATTTATACCGAATGTGTGTAAAAAGAACGTTCGTGTCGCGTCTGTTGTTTAGATGTTATATATTCTCTGTGAAAGAAAAATATTACATTTAAAAAAAATATATAACGTACGTTTTATCTAAAAATTGCAATTATTTTTACTTACACGTTATTCTCAAAATAAATGTATAAAACAAATTTTGCTCGAATAATTAACTATCGGCAGAGAAGACAGGATTAACGTTTATCCGCTTATCCGTCATGTGTGTTTGCAGACAGAAATCGCAAAGAGGCTGAACGCGATAATCGCGCAACTGCTTCCGTTTCTGGCGCAAGAGGTGAGTTTTTGACTTTCTGTCTGGCACGCGTGCCGTGCGATCTCACAATCGAGTGTGACGACGACGCGATAATGATAGCATGGCATTGCAGCATCAGCAGCAGGTGGCCAACGCTGTGGAGAGGGCGAAGCAAGTCACCATGTCCGAACTGAACGCCATTATCGGGGTAAGTAGCCGTCAAGTTTTTGCCATTAAACTTCAACGTCATCGATTTTAACGAGCGAGATCGTAAAAGCGTATCTCGAGAGATTGCTTTATAAAAATGGGTAGTTTGCGCGAGCTTTTGATTCAAACTTAATTTTATAATCGAATAATTGTGTTATTTGCGAATTTCTCTCTAATTTTTGCAGCAGCAGCAACAGCAGGGCCTCCAGCAGCTTTTGGTGAGTATTTTACATCATGTTTGATATATAACGTAACAAATGTCTATATTCATAATATTTTATTATTCTCTAAATAACAATTTGGAACTTATTATTTGAAAATTTTCGCAATGCATTTTGTCGACGAAAGTTTAATAAGAAAATACGCGCTATTGATAAGAAAAAGAATATCTTTACAAATTAATGTTAGATTCTAGGAAAACCTATTTAACAATCGTATGTCTGTGACAATGAAAGAGTTGTTTAATCAGCTCGTCGGTAGTCCGCAATTTTTTAAACGTTATGTGAGTTTGATGCGACAAGTCGGAATTTTAATAACGCCGATTATCCGGCATTCTATGCTAATAAATGGAAATAAACATAAATTTAATCAGAGAATTTTGTAAAAAATGTATATAACGAAGGAAAAAAAAGAAATGGAGTCTATTGTCAATAGATGTGTTAAAAAATCGTTTTTTCTAACAGAAAACAAACGTTGAAAAAAACAAACTTGCTCTTTTTCATCATTATTTTTTTAAATATATTTTTCTTCATATCTTTTTGTTATATGATAAAAACTCTTTAAAGTTTTTACATTTTCAATTTATATTATTTCAAAGATAATTTTAATAAATTAATGAAACTTTTATGGCTTTTACACGACTAGGATAATTTTCAGTTGGATACATACAAATCTTTATTGTGCATCTAGTCGAAAATTATCCGATTATTATATCGTGATATCATTTTAATCGCAAAAATCTCATTAATCCATTAAAATTATTTTTGAAAAAAAAAATTAAAATAAAATATGAACACTTTAGTTTTTTTAAAATAGTGATTCAAGTATACATTTTTTATTATTATTTAAAATTGCAAACTATTTTTCAATTTGGAACGCGATCTGCGTTTAAAACAGCGATGGTTAATTCACAAATCTATTATCTAAAAATGAAAAGTAGTAAAAAATTAATTGACAATGTAAAGATTAAAATGTAAAGATGTTAAATATTTAGAAAAAATTTGTGATCAACGTCCTTTTATCTTGATCGTCACAGCAACAGATCCATGCGCAGCAACTGCCCCATGGCGCGGTGGTCGGCGGTCTTCCGCCGGGCGGTCTGCTGGGCTTCGCAGGTGCGGCCGCGGCGGCCGCAGCCGCGGGTGTGCCGCCGCACTTGGCGCCGCCGCCGCATCCCGCGGCCGCAGCTGCGGTCCAGGCACAGGCGCAGGCGCTGCTGAAGCCTGCCGATCTCCAGCAGCATCGCGCGGCCGCGGAGACGCCCGAGGATCGTAAGCCGATCGCTTTGCCGGACGAGAGACTCGGTCATCGCTCGGTCTCGCCACCCGAGAAATTTCGCAGCCGCACACCCGACCTCGAGGGCGACCCCAAGAGGCGGAAGGAGGAGAAGCTAGGACACGTGAGTATACCATTACTCGTACCGGTACTCGGTACCTATCCCCGCGTTCGGATCGATCGACGATTCGATCGAGCTCCAAATCGAGTACAAAGTAGATGCTTATAACGATATTACTCTCGGACAGATGTTTAGGTTGATTATAATTACTTTCAACAATAATCGACGCTCAAATTCGAGATGATTTATCTTATTTATAATTTTACGTGTCAAATATATAATAAAGTTAAGTGCACACATATACGACACATATAGGACACATGTGCGGCGTATAAACATACCTTCTTTATCTTCAATTTTGCCATTTGTGCCTTACATGTGATTTAAAGTGAACTATATAGTATTACCATAAAAATTGTTTTTATAACATGGTAACAAATTCTAAATTAAGAACGAGATTTTTATTTAGATAGACGTATAAAATTATATTCTGAATTGTCGAGAGAGGAGACATTTCGTATCTATAGCTTTACAAAAGTATTCTTTTTCTTTGAGACATCAGAAATTTAGGTAAAGGGAATTTATTCATCGATAATAGATACGTACTGTTGCATTGAATATTGTCGGTTGGTCAATGCACACTTAACTCCGGAGAGAGACTCATTGTCAGCGTAGGAAGAGTAGCGCATCATGACGGACGGCGCGTTAGCCGAGAATTAAAATGCTAATTGCAGCGACGTCGAAAGCCGATAAAACGGCCGACACTCTCGGCGAGCGAAGCGAGGGAGGAGAGTAAAGAGGCACGAGTGAGCGCGCGCGTTATATCGGCGGAAAGTAAACGCAAGAGTAATAAAAGGGCCGAGTTTAGAGTTGGAGCCGCGCAAAAAGGGATAGGAGCATCGGATGCTAACTTCCACTTAACCATCGAATTCATCGTGAAAAAAAGGAGGGAGGAAAAGGGAAAATGTGGATGGAAAGTATATCCTCCGGATAGTCTCGCGTGCCTATCCATCTATCGGTTTCTCGTCGGCGAGAGCGAGCGTCCCAAATGCAATCGTGCGTTACCCAAGTTTCCGTTGAAATTGGATTACCCTCGTTGGCCGCAAAGGCGAAAAAAAGGACCTGACCTGACCTCCGATTTTTCCTATCTGATTCAGGAATTGTAACGTTCCGCGCCAAGTCGAACACGGTCGTCTATTTTGTTTAATGTCTACCTGAAGTGAAATTCCGCGTCTCTTTGTCCGGAATCGCGAGGACAAAGCGCGCGATCTTTTCACGAGAGGACGGGACGCGAAAGAAGGGGCGAGAGAAGGGGCGTATAATTAAAAAGCGTGAAAACAGGCGAACAGTTAGCCGGGTCGCGCACAGACTAAATTGGATTATTTTTCTCAGCTGTTCCCTTACCTGTGCAAGCGCCTCGCTTACTCTCTCTTTATCTCTCTTCATTTTGCCCTGTCGGTTTTCTTCCCTCGGTGCATCTTTCGCGACGATTAGGACGTAAATCCTTCAACTAATATAAAATAATAAAAAATCTTATCTTTATCAAATTTCTTGGTCAATTTTCACTAGCAATGAAACGAGAGAAAGAAATATGAGAAAAAGCATAATTTCAAAACTTATTTTAATTATAATATTCCATATATTTTCAATGTATTAATTACAATAAACAGAAGGATCTTGTATTATATTAAATTTTTCCGCTAACTTTTACCAAATTAATTTTACTAAATTAAGTATTTTGTTAAAAGAGTTGAATATATATTATTTCTCAAAATTTACAACTAATAAAAATATGACACCATATAATTTAGCGGAAAAATTTAATATAATACAAGATCCTTCTTTTTATTGTAATTAATACATTGAAAATATATGGAATATTATAATTAAAATAAGTTTTGAAATTGTGCTTTTTCTCAAGACATATATATATATATTAAATGTTTCGATTCTAATGTGGATGGAAAATATTCACTTGAGCGTTTTTGTTTTTCATTTGTATTCTACTCTAAGTTATCACTTATCATGTGAATATTTTTCTAAATCCTAAAAAAGCTACATCATAAAAATTGAAACTAAGACAAATGTCATATTCTTTTTCTCTTATCAAAATTAATAATTATTTCATAGACAAAAATATTTTTTGTTTATCAATATTATGTTACTCTCTCTTTTTCGCGCAATTAGATTTGAGTTAATCACCTATTTAGTGTACGTTATAATATCGTTGAAAAATGTGTGGCGGCCATCTATTATACAGGATGAGTCATGCAAGTCAGACGAGTTATATCTCTTTCACGTTTGATGATAGGAAAAAGTGGCGGAGAAAAAAAAATTGAACGGTTTAATGATGCCTAACTTTTTATGACGTTACTTTTTTTGCAAATTCGAATTGCATGACTCATCTTGTACATGCGCGGATGCAGGAGAAAAGAAACTAAATTATCGATAAAAAATATAGGTACTAAATAATAAATTAGTTTATGCGAAGTACATTGCAATATTCTTATAACATCGAATTAATAAATAATTATTTACATAATTCGAAAAACGCGCGCGATTTATTTTGTTCGTCCGTTTGCCTTTTAATTTTCGGGAAATGAATTTCTCTTCAATCATTTCTTGGTCATTCGCCGCGTTCTAATGATCTCGAGTCAACAAAAATTGTTTTGTTAAAATTGTTTTTTACTTTTGGACTTGTGTAGTTGTCGCGGTCAATTGTCGCTATCAAACCGGTAGAAACCGCGGGAGCCCCAACATTTTCCCTCTTTCCAACCACGCTCTCGTATTATCGTTCCTTCTTTCTCGACGCACTAACAACGCGTCGTTTACACGGGCAATCTCTTTGGTCCCAAGAGTGCCAAGAGGGAAGTTTGTTTGAAGTTGAGGAATCGAGCGGACCTGTTCATCAACCGCATTTTCTCGCAATCGTATTGAAGTCACGATAAATGATAAACAATTTTGTGATGTCTTTCAATTAAACTGTCGGAATTAATATAAAGAATTCTACTTATATTTTGTCTATATTTATCATAATATGGAATATATATATATATATATATTATTTGTCAGTATTATATCACGGACATCTGGAAATTGAAATAAAATATTTTGATCACTAAAAGCTAGAAACTAAAATAAAATATTTTTATACAAAAATATATTTTTCAATCCTTGTAGATTACATATTTTTTTCCTATTTCTGATTATATATGAGTCATGTTTTGTCGCAGTTTTTGCTATTTCAAAAAGTGCTTGAAAAGTTCAGAAAAATTTACGTTTCTTTAATATCTGTAGAAAATAATCGTGTACGGCAAAAATTACAAAATAAATTTGAAACATTTTTTTAATAGAAGAAGGACTTTGGGATATTGTATTGTTAAAATATCGATGAGATCAAAATGACCAATATTTATGATCTTCTATTTATTTTCCTAATAATTCATTTGTCCTGGTCGGAAAAATCCTCGAAATCACGGAGCTTCAAACATATGTTTATTAAGAAATTCGCTATTGTCGTCGACGCGCGTTGATGGATACCGAGTAGCCTGGTCGAGAACGCGGACGCGATGTCGTGTTTCAGTCGTGTGTAATTCAGGGAAGCAACAAAGACGAAGGGAGCAAGAGAGAGATATATATATATTGGCGCATCCGGAAATGAGTTCTCGCTCGTGTCCACATTCGGGTTCTTAGGTCTGCCGTACGAGTTCCGTATATACGCGCACGTCGAGAGAGAGGATTAGTCGTAGCTCTCAGCACACCACCATCTTCCCTGTATATCCCCTCGCTTCATCCCCGAGAAAGCATTAATCAAAGGAGCAACCGTACGCCCTGTTTCCGTCGCGATGAAAGCTGCTGCCGGTTCCCCACATGAAATCGCTATATCACGGCAAAGGGTCTATTTCTCGTCTTATACTATTATAATCGATTCGTCCTTGGAGAAAATAAAGTCCTGTAAAATTCAAAAATTTTTATCTACCTTTACTAACAAGGAAATTAGAAAATTTTTATTTTAATGAAATTTTATGCACATATGGAAGAGGGGAGGTAAATAGATGAATGTAGAAATTTTCAGCTGCGGTCCAAGAACAATTCTAAGAAACCACTCCTCGTATATAGAGTAACGTTTTGCTACCCTTGATATATCTCGAAAATCATTTGAGATATTAAAAAAATTTTGAGAAAATTTTCAAAGATTTCTGAAAAAATTTGTTTAAAAAATTATTTCTTCGAAATTTCACTAATGTAATTAGTGTTATACGTAATTGTGTAGCGGTATTCTTATCATGAAACTTTTGTATAAAATCTTTTGATAAAAATAATTTTCTCAAATAATTTTGGAGATATATCGCAGAAAGTAAATAAGCGTTCTACATATGAGAGGTAATTTCAACCCTTAGAATCGCTTTTAGACGGTAATTGAAAATTTCAAAATTCACCTCTCTATCCTCTCCCATTCCCCAAATCTGTGAAAAGTTTCATCAAAATCAAAATTTTCCAATTGGCGAGATTCCCTTGTAAGAAGACATCTCAACAATTCATTTTAAATCGGTGACAAATTTTAAAATATACAATATATATATTTTTTTAAGTACAAAAACGCAAACTTATCTGTGCGAGTGAATCAATTTATAATATTTACGTGGCAACACACTTGGACTCGACGGTGGTGATCTTTTTTCGCTCGCATCTTTTTATTTAGCGCAACTATACTCGTACCGTGTATAAATGAAGAGATGTCTGATTGTGTCCGATGGTGACCTCATTTTCCCTTAATCGTCATCCCGGCGTTGTCACCCGGCGCTACTACGTTGCGAAGGGTGGAGAGGTAAAAAAGATTCCCGATAAAATCCTGGGATCTACCTCGCGCGCCCGCGGCGGTCTCGGTAATGCGACGGAGGATAGTGCTCGTTGTGAAATAACGTTTCAAAAGCGTGTCGGATGGCAAAGTGCATTTTTTATAGCGGCCGGAATGAAATTGAAGACGGAAAGTCTCAAACGTGTTAAATGGCAAAATTACAAAAATTTTCACTACGGCGTAAGATAAACGACATATTATTGCA